GCAGCCTTCATGTGTCTCCAGGGAGGCCGACTGCAGATCCCCAAGTACTGCACCTCGAAAGTGACAGCACAGGGCAGCCACCAGCACCCTGGAGGCAGTTTGAATGTCTCCCCACCACGGCCCCTGCCTGGGCTCACCTCGGCCCAGCTGAGGGCCCACAGGGCCTGGGGAGCCCTGTCCATCTGCCTCGCAAACCTTCTTGAGCCCCCACCACCTGTCTCAGCCGGCAGGAGGCTCAAAACTTGGTTTCACATCAGTCAGCTGAGGATCTTTTAATCCTTTGTGGTCCGTGCTGGCCTAGGCCATGGTCGGGAGGGGAGGGTGGATGCTCCGGGGACAGGTCCTGGCAGTCCCCAGGCCAGCAGCTCTGGAGCAGGGCTCCATTCTGGCCCTGGCCAGGTCTGGGCCAGGACCCTGTGCATGCTCAGGGCACCCCTGTCTCCAGGGCCTGGCACAGAGGCCCCTGCCCTGACCCATAACTGGGAGCAAGGCACAGGGTCCCCTGGGGCCTTAGCCCCTTACAACCCTGAGATCATGGCAGGGTAGGGTTAGGGTTCAAACTTGGTCCTAGGGGCTCCCAGCAAGCAGATGGGGAAGCAGCAGCCCACAGCTTTTCCCTCAGGGGTCAAGTTTCTAGGGAAAGGAAGGGGTGTGGCAGCCTCTGCGGCCTGTAGCTGTAGCTGTACCCCAGGCTGCTGTGACTTCCCCAGGCAGAGCTGCTCTTCCTCCTCTGCACCCCCACCCGTCAGTGGGGGCAGGGCCTCAGTCCTGACCCCAGCCCCTAGCACCTGAGTGGGCTGCCATCTCCGACTCAGCTCTGAAGTAGAGGGGCCCTGTCTGAGGGTGCAGGGCCCAGGTGCTGGAGTCCAAATTTGGGGCGGGGGGGGGGGACAAGTTCCTGCTGTCCAGGTTGCAGGCCCTGGACCTGACTCCCTTTTCAGGCTGGCTGTGGCCAGCCTGTGCCCCAGGGCACCTACTCTCTCCTGGCTGGGGTTCCTGCCCCTCATCCTGGCATTTGGAGGGGGGCTCCGTCCCCTTCCCTAGTCCCTCGAAGCTCCCCACCCCCTCCCCAGTCTGGGATGAAAGAGACTGGACAGGCAGCCAGTGTACCTCTAAGTAGACTTGCCATCACCTCCGGACTCCATTCCCTCCTAATCCTGCTCAGTACCTTTCCTATCTGCCCCCCCCCCCCATTTGGCTGGTGGGGGAGCCCCAGATTGGCTCCTCCGAGGCCAATGTTCCTCACCCGGTGACCCTCGCCCCAGCCCACCTTTCCAGTGGTGGCGGAGACTCACTTCTCGACCCCTTTTCCTGCGGGAGGGTCTGGCCTGCAAAAGCCTGTCTCCTTTTGCAGGGACCTGAGGCCCCCACCCCTACCTCGAGGAAGTCGCCATGGCGCCCCACTCACCAGCGACCCAACGGCGAGGTGGGAGCGGGAGGGGCCAGGTTCGGTCTGGGCCTCCCCTGGCTGCCGAAGGGGCGTGCGCCGCAGCAGCGGGGGCGAGTCGGTGGCAGGAGGTTCCCGCGGTTCTGGATCGCGCCGGCCCGGCCCTATCCGTTGGGGTGGGGGGCAGCGCCTCCTCTGCGACTCGCAGGTCTGAGAAGCTGCCAGATCCGACGGATGGAGCGGGCCGACAGGGTGTCCCGCCTCGGCCCCTCCCCACCAGCTGGGGGGGCGGGAGACACGGAAACCTGGGTTCTTCCGGCCCCCCCTTGAGCAATCACTTCCCCAGGCTCTGAGCTGCAGAAAAGGGGAACCCAGTTGTAGCACCCCCCCACGCGC